TCACATCACTTTCTCGACATATTAAAATAAATAATAAAAATAATTTGTTCGAAATATATTCAATTTAAATCATTTGTATGTCTTCTAATTATACTTATAATTATAATTATACTATAATTATACTAACTAGTAAATTACATAAAATAAACAAAAATTACAAAACCATGGTTTTAAAACTATTAAAGGATATACGAAAACTGAAACTTGCTTAAAGCAAATTAGTTGAAAGAATTAATATAAATTTGGATAATTTAATATTTTTATCCATTTTGTATTCATTCTTTTTTTTATAATAATGTTTATTGTAACAATCAAAACGAAAATTTTACTTATTACTTGCGGTATTGAGATACTGGCTGAAAAGGGCTATTTCTTCACTTAAATCACTTTCTCGTATTACTTTTATTGTCAATGAAAATGCGTTGTACGAAATGCACTCAATTTAAATTGTTGGACAAACTGCGACGTCTCCAATAAATATATTATGTTGTATATTTATGTCCTCTAATTGTATGCTGTCAATGATTAAATTGATTGTTAAACAAAGCGCGTGTTTGTAATTGAAAAAAAAAAAGAATAAAATTTTGCAAAAAGTCTTTCAAGTCGTTTCCTGGTGATGAGTAAAAAGTGCAGTTTGTACTCGCTCGGAAAATAAGTTGTCATTGTTCCATCGACATTGAGTCGATGATCAAGGCTTCATTATTGTCCAGTTAAATATAAACAATCGATACATAACCTTTCTTTATTACAAAATAAAGTTGTTTACACGACACTTAAAATCAATTTAATTTGTTTGTGATTATGCACTTATACAGTTTATGTAAAGAAAATCAGAGATTTTACAAGTTTGAAATGAATCATTTCATACATGTTACATAAAAGGAATTCAAACCTAAATATTGAACAATTTATAAAACATTCCAGTCCAAATATTTCGACGCTTTTCATTGATAAATCCTGTTTTTATTGTACTCTAATTTGAGTCTACTCATAGGATTTATTAAGTAAGATTATATTTGAACAAATCAATTTATTCAATTTTCATGTTAATTTAAATTTGGTGGCTATTAATGTTTTTGATTCCACATAAAAAAAGCAATTTTTATATAAAAATCTAAAATTTAAAACGAAATAAAATATAAATATTTAATTATATATTTATTATATTTTATCTAACATTTGAATAAATGTTTAAATTTAAATGAATTATATAAATTTTATTAAAATGTGATTATCATTTAGAAGTTCTCCAATATATTTTTTTTTTAATTTCTCGATTTTTTATAGTTTAATTTATTTAAACATGTACTTTCTAATTATACAAATGTAACATGATCAGAAGTTTGATTATAATAAAAAGACAATCTCTTTAAATACACATTCGTAATTTCTAATTAACTAAATGTAACATAATCAGAAGTTGATAATACTCACACACAAATAATAATTATGTAACAAAGCTTTTATACAATTATCACAAACTTTGAGAAATTTTATAATTAAATTCTAATATTTTTTTTTTTACATGAAATTTAATTATTTCGGCACATCAAGTAGTAATAAAATAATAATTATTGTAGATATAAAAATCCGGTTTCGATCAGCAAACTAAATTTTTCTTGAACAAAGTAAAACAAAATTAAAAATAAATAGTACGCATAATTCTTGTATATTTCTTTTTGTGCAGTTTATTTGTCAAATACACAAAAATATATATTTAGTTTCGTCATTAGTTTCAGAAGTTTCAAACAGTCCGGGTTATTATCGGAACAGCACTATGCGAGTTATTGCTGTACATATACAATAGGCTATTTGACTATTTCAAGAAATAATGCAGATTTATGCGCAAAAATAGAATATTTTACAATAATATTTTCTATTTTTAGTAAAACGTGGCTTGCTTGTAAACATTCTGATATTTTCATAACAAGTACAATAATGTATGTTGTGCTATGACGATATTCCTGTTATTCCATCAGGTATTCCTGTTATATAACAAAGTTTATTATTAGCATAGCAGCATTAATATTTGTTTTCTGCGATTGTTTTTGATTGAATCGCATGAGTAATGTAATTGCGATTTTCTGTCGTTATTCATTTAACATTCCACCTGACAAATACGGACAAAGAAAATTTTGTTTATCTCTTTTCTTTTGACACATATTTATAATGCAATTCAATATTCTTACTTATTAATTAAACAAATTAATTAATTAATTAGTTCTTTAAATGTACTTTTTTCGACAATAATTAAAAAATTATCAACATACAAATTTTATCATCTTTTAATTATTTAAAATAAATTATAATTACTTTGAAAGCATTTTTTTATGCATATAAGAATAATTTGCTTAGTGCGGGTTTATTGGTTCCACTAATATCCTTCATAGTTTGAAACTGGACTAATCGAGAAGCTCACATTTTGGAATAAAAAAAGATAATTTTGTGTATTAATTTAATTAAAATCTAGTTTTGACATTTTTAAACCGAACCATAGTGAATCGACACTAATAGAAACCGCACTATGCGAGATATTGCTGTATTTCTATTGTAAATCAATATTATTACATATCAATTAATTAAGACAACTTGTGATTCGTTGCCACTAAATATATTTGCATCAAAACTCCTTTCTCCAGATTTCTATTTGAATTTACTACAAAGTTCAACAACGATAATATTTTACGCCTTACCTAAATGAATGTATGTTTAAACAAAATATTATTACTCTAAAGTACATATTTGCATACAGAATAATAATGGAACTCTTTTGTTCTCTATCCTTTTGACGAATACCGTTTTGTGAGCATTATCGAATGGATAATAACAAGATAAACATTTATCAATTTGATGCTTGAAGATGCTCTGATCTCTGATTAAGGAATTTTATTTTGGAGGAATAGAAACAGGTTCAATAAACTTGAGTTACTTCTTATGCGCTGTTAATAACTCACTGTCCTTCATGTTACTAGTAAATAATAAGCGGTCATCTATTAACTCGAAATATTTTATTAATAATAGTGTTCCAAAATTTTTCTGATTGGTTTTTAGATTATCTCGTGTAAATAAAAAAAATAATGGCTTAGTTTATACTATAATATTTGCTCATCGTATTTCTTTCGACAATTTTGCTTGATTTATTACATAGAATGAAGTTATGTACATAACAATTATTTTGGATGAAGGACTACGGTCATTGGCCTTTAGTAGAAAATATTGTACAAAAAAACAACGTAGATCTAAACTTTACATTAAAGTACAGCATTAACCGGCGATATTCTGGACTGCTTGAAACCGGATTAATCGAGGAACTACAAACTTTCAAATATTTAATAAAGATTTTATTAGAATTATTCTATTTGTAATCTATTTAGTGTAATTCAAAAAAAAGTATATTTAAGAATCTCAATTATAATACTCGCAATTAATTCGCACACAAAAATTCATCAATTTCCTTATAGAGCAACAATTAATTCATTATTTACTACACAATTTTTGATATAAATATATGTAAATTATAAATGTTATTGTAATTTTGTTCTATTTTAATATATAAAGTATTCAAATACACGTATTTAACATTTCGTAGAATAAATATTTGTTTTGTTATGTAATGATATTACAAAAAATATTGTTTTTTTTTTCTACATCTAAATTGATTAAATGTTGAATGTTTTCATAATATCAAAATTAACATACTATTTCGGTATATTGTCATGCTTTTTTTAATTATAAATTAAATTAAAGGAAAAGTCTGCTGTCGGTTATATATTGGCAAACCGTGGCTCCAGTGCGAAGCGCGGCTCCTTTGATAATAAATTGAGATGGCTATGTTGTATAGCGTAACTTCATTTCACTAGCACTACGTGCGGCTCCTTAGACTTCTTTTATCTTAAAAATGGTTCCAATAAGTTTGCCAACCTCTAGTCTACTATGACATTTACTCGAAACACCGACAATTACCCAAAATTGTACCGTATTCTAAAACTAGTATTAATATAATTCATTTAATTGTACAGGAATGAGTACATTTTTCTAAACATGTTTCATTATTTCAATTTTATATTGTCTATGCAGACTTTGGTCACACATAATTATTGCACCGAGAATCATGTCGCCAATATATTATTTTTTTTATTTTATTACTCGTGAAATTAGTTTTAGCAGAAAAGTCATGTTTTTTTTTATATTCGCAACATTAAAAATGCGAAATTTATGAGAATACCAAGTCCATCGTTTTTTTGAAGAGGAAAGATATATGAACTATTAAATTTGTAGTTCTGGCGCAATAAAAAAAAATTTTTGGATTTGATTATAACTCGTTTTATATCGCAGTGGACTTAACAATATTATTCATTTAATTGATTAATTTAGTTACAAGGATATGGTAAAATTTTATTTTGGACTATTATTAATGATTAACCCAGTTTCTTTTTTTATTTGAAACAAAAAAAAAATATGAATGGTTTGATTATATTTTAACGAAATCGATAAATAATAATTGAAATAACCATATAAAAATAAATATCATATTTAATTCTTACGAATGCTTTTAATTGTTATAAACTTGAGAGGTTTACAAGGTTGTAAACAATTTTTTGTTTGTTGTTATTATGATTAATGATTAACCCAGTTTTGTTATATTAAGAATATTTTGATTATATACTAACAATATCAATAATTAATAATTTTAAAGAAAAAAAAACTTTCACAAGCCTCAGTGGGTTAACGGATAACGGTAACGGCGGTTGTTCAAAAACATTTATGGATTACGCAAATGATGGTTGTATTTAGCATTAGTACACGTTCGATGTCCGCCGATTAAATTGGTTAGTTAGTAGTAATAATGGAGATCGCGTGTTTCGGTAATACGGTTAGGAAGCGCTCTTTGTACGTGCAGATGTTTCACACGATTTCCCCCGCGAAAGGTGCAATTAGGGGATGGCTTTTGCAGTTGATTAACGTGTCATCTCATTACTGGTATTTCCTTTATGTTGCAGAATTCCTAGTGATGGGAATATCAGGAACGCTGATGGCTTTATGCGGATTCTTGATCTACTACTTCGATCCACTCAATGTCATTATTAAAGCTGTAAGTATTACAATAACTTATGTTGTGTATTCAATTTCTATCATATACTAAAATATATATCTGGGATTTGAAAATTTATTTGGTATAAGTTAAGTAGAATGAGTCATCAATATACTTTTACATTAACAGACATTAAAAAAAAAATAGTTCTTTTTTTAATTAAATTAGTTTCCCGAAAAGCAATATTCCAATCTATACTTGATACACATTTCTTTAATATTTAAACATAAAAAAGTGTATATAGATAATTTTCCTATTTCTGCTACTAAATAGAGTTTATAGGTCTTAAATTAATATCTACCAGGAGACCAACTATTATTCTAATGTAGCTGTTTAATATCATCGGATTGTAAACAACTGATAATCAATAGTAGTTGGTAGACCTGACAAATATTTATGTCAAATGTCAGTTGTCAATTGTTCGGTTGGAGTATAACCAAGGTGACCAAAGTGAATACGGTTTTTAGAGGACAGTTGGCAATTCTCATTTCTATAATTCAAACAATTTGTTGCAGTTCGCAGTTCTTGCTCCGAACTCGATACTCTTCAAAATCTGGTCAAAACCGCCATACGAGATCAATGTGAATGTCTACATATTCAACATCACAAATTCCAAGGAGTTCCTGGAGAACGGCGATAAGCTGCAGCTTGAGCAAATCGGGCCGTACGTCTACCAGTGAGTTTACGCGAACAGCAAATGTTTAGTTTGTAAATTGCTCATTGCTTTTTCCTTGCTAAATTTAGAGAGATCATAACGAACACTGATGGCCATTTCAACGATAACGGAACGATCACATTCGCACCAAAAAGACATCTAGTATTCAAACGCGAGTTGTCGGTTGGCGATACCAAAGAAGACAGGATCATCGCCGCTAATATTCCACTACTGGTAAGCACAATAAAATACATTATTGTATAATAAAACGTATGTAATACAAATTGTTTATGTAATGTTTATTATTTTGATTTATTTAGGGAATATCATCGTCACTGAAGGATAAATCGTTTTTCGTAAACTTCGTTGTTGCTAATATCGCAACCGCTCTGGATTCTCAGATTTTCCTGGAATTGACGATTGATGAGTATCTGTGGGGATACGATGATAAATTGGTCGATTTAGCCAACAAAGCTCTCCCTAATTGGATAAACTTTCCTCGATTCGGGATTATGGATAGGGTAAGATCAATTCAAATTGAGTACATACAATATTTTTATTTTTGTTTTTTTGTTTTGTTTAGATGATGGCGCTGGATAATGCTTCGAATGTGGTTACTATTAAAACTAAAAGCGACGTACAGATGAGGAATTCTTATCAAAGTGAAAGCGAGAGGGAAATGCTGTATACAATCAGCGAATTCAACGGATCACCTGGCCTTCACCACTGGGGCTTCAAGGACGACGACTGGGAGAGCAACAGTAAGTGCAATACTGTCGAAGGAGTTTTCGTGGAAGGATTGTTCACACCTGATATGGATCTGAATAATACTCTGAGATTATACAGAAGAGCGTTTTGTAGGCCAGTTGATTTCCGATTTGAAAAAAAAGAGGTGTTCAAAGGATACGACGCGAACGTTTTCCGAGTGGATCCTTTGTTCCTTGCCCGCCCTGAAGAGAATCCCGACAACGCTTGTTATTGCTACAAAGGGAAGTGTCCCAAGAAAGGCTTGAGTTACCTGACGCCCTGTTATTACGACATACCCGTAGCGATCTCGCAGCCCCATTACTTGAATTCCGACCCCAGCCTCTCCGAGCAAGTAATTGGTATGGAGCCAAACGTGGAGCTGCACGATTCCACGCTGAAAGTCCACTCGCAACTCGGGGTCCCTCTTGAAGCCAAGCTCAGGATTCAAATCAATTTAGAGATCGACACCAGATTGAACAATAGATGCAAACCCATGAATGGACTTACTTTACCATTATTCTGGCTCGAACTCGACATAGTGGACTTACCCACGCAGGTCGATTGGATCCTCTACATGCTGTACAACATATTGCCAATATCTCAGATAGTCTTAATGTGGTTGTTCATCCTCTTCGGACCTGCATTAGTCGCGGCCGCAGCACTGATATCCTTCTACACACCACACAACCATGGATTAGAAGACCCTTACGCCAATAGAATAGGGTACAGTCCAATCAGGATCATTCCCATGACCGCTTATTTGAATGAGAACTTAAGGATTAGTAAATGAAGTGTTAGTTAGAAATTATTATATATATTTTTTTATATAGTGACAATTATAGTGAGCAAACCTTTAGTTCTTGAACAATGCGACAAGACACAGACTGATATCTTTTTTATTTTTCGATTTTTTTTTTTGTATTAGAATATATAGTTTAAGTATTTATCAATACGTACCATTACTTTTGTTTTGTAAATACTGTTTGTAGAGAATGTGATAGCAATTTTGTACGAAATATATTTTATTTTTAAATCAAACTTGAACAAACTAATAATTATTGCACTAGGTTGAGATCAGGTAGGTGGTGACGCTATTTTATTTTGGATTTGATCCACGGTAAGTAATAGGATAATCTGGTGTAGACGTCTGGGAATCCAGGTTTCGCGCAACCCGAACCGAAGGATGTGATGCCAGCAAGGAACCAACGACCATCGGTGTGTGCACATTGCAGAGGTCCTCCGGAATCCCCCTGAAAATTTCAGTAATCTATATAAGGATGTTTTAAATACTTTAGTGAATAACCAACAACGCAAGTTCCCGTCGATCCATCCAGATGACCCGCGCACAGATGTCCTGACCTGATGGCTACTGAATGCCCATACTTCTTCCTGCAAATCGCGTTATCGTGAACTGGTACTTTAGCTTCTAATAGTTGACCAGCCAATTGACCATCCTCCGCATCTCTTCCCCATCCCGTGGCTATGCACAAATCAGTCTCATTATGGGTGAACCTTTTGGTCGGTAAACATACAGCCCTTATTCTACTATTCCTCGCTACTTTGACAGGTTTCGACAGTTTCATCAACGCTGAAAAACAAACATATAAATAAGTATATCCAATAAAGTGATCTCAATATACTAACCAATATCGTGTTGAAAGTTGTGGAAACGCTCATGTATAACAATCTCCTCGATCGGGATCCTCTCTTCCGTATTCTCCTCGAGGTTCTGATCCCAATCACCAAGGACCGCAGTCCACAATGCAGCCAAAGGCAAGTTGAACAGATCGCTGAAACCAAAACAAATTAAATGAATGCAAAAAAAAAATTGACAAAATGTATTCAGGTCAAGATGTTTCGATGGGGAATTCCCTCTACTAATATTTATTCTACTAACAAATATCCTTGAGTAAATATACTCACTTGTTGATGCAGTGGGCTGCTGTTAAAAGCCATTCCGGTGAGATGAGCACGCCCCCGCACCAGTGACCTATGAACCCGAACTGCGGGTGCAACAATTGCAGCGACACCTGGAAACGTTTAACTAATATTAGTTACAAAACTCGAAGGTTAAGTGGAATGTAATGTTTTCAACCTTCATTGTTAAAAAACGCATGAAGTTACGCAAAGGTTTCCGTAATCATCGATTCTAGGAAAACAAAAAACAAAATCTGGTTTCCGATCTTAAAAATCATTGACATTGACAAATACTACTGATCGGAAACAACATCCTTGATGTGTATTACGGATTCATTACAAATTGATGAACTATTACACGTAGAAATTTGATGAGCTTTGTATTCATAGATTTGTATCGGCGTTGACCTTTCCACAATTAAGGTTGCAGTAAATTCGCATGAACAGACAATTCTCAGGGTTTGGAGTATAAAAGAAGGCAAATACAAAAAAATGGTCATTGTTATTCGCAACGTGGTTTAGACTGCGCGAATTTAGTAGCAGTCGTAAAATAAGAGAAATTTAAATGTGGAGGATTAGGCGTAGAGGTTGGATCGTAAAGGTTGCATGAGGTGAACCTGACCTCCGATAAATCAGCAAATAGATAATAAATATTTGAGTAACATTGAACGTAAATAGAACGAAGTATTAGGCGTTTTCTCTTCATTAGAATCTTTCCACTTTATTGTTTTATTTTGATTTGATAGAAAACAATAAATACATTTCATTGTAAATTAAATTATAGACAAGAACTTGACTCAATAGCGTTGACATATGTCAAATATGTTAAGCATGTGACAAACTCAGTAATGACAAACTTAATTCAACTTATGAATGAAATTGAGTAGAATAATATAAAAATAATTTCTAATAGAATAGTACACAAAATTATTGTTTTATATATAAATAATCCTTTTTCCTTCTGTTGTACAGAAGTGTGTAGTATGTATACTTAAAAACTTTTCTTTTTATTCAATAAACAATTATATTAATATTGAAGTTTTAGTATATTTTTTCCAAAATCGCGAATGGATATGCAGTAAAAATATGCATTATTATTTTAATAAATAAAAACATATAAAGCTTAAAATATTCTTTAAGCTTTAGTCAATGGGAGAACAAAAAAAATAATTACATTTATATGTATACAATTATTTGAAATTAATTGTATGTATAGAATTCAGAGAGAAGTTTTTTTGTATATGAATAATGCATCGCTGAAGTAATTTTCATTCCGAATCGTTTTCCATTTGAAATGCAAAAAGAGGCATGTAATAAAGCGTGGAATCTAATTGGAATGAAAGTGAATAATAGAAAATCACGAATTAGCCTACATGCGCTTTGTTTATGGGAAATCTGTACATCGGCATTGCATAAACGAAACGAAATGACGCGAAATCGGTTTCCCAGCCAATAATTGATATTACAAAGCGAAATTCGTTATTAAAATAGAGCGCGGTGAAAGCATCCCAAGTCTCCGACTAGCAGATTCAATTATATTAACTTGCAGATTATAATCAAATAACAACCAAAGTCAACAAATAGATAATTTAGAGTCCTTTTTTGATGTGATACAAAAATCTTTTGATTAATTTTCAAACGCCAAATCGATTAATTTATCTGAGACTAAAAATTGTCTAAATTTGTGGACTGTTGAGAGTTTTATTTGATGTGATACAAAAGGAATTGATTGAATAATGAATTGTCCTGTACCAACATATTAATTATTTGTGGACTTTTTCATTGATCTCATTAATCTCATTGATTAATTTACCTGATACCACAAATAGACAAATTGTAGACAGTTTGATTATACTTTTATGTGATAAAAAATGATCTATCAATTGATTAATTCACCTGAGTCCTTTTTGTAACCTCATCTATTGATTAATTTACTTGTGATTAAAAAGTAGACAATTTATTTGAGAGGATCTTATCAATTGAAGAATTTACATATGCTCACAAATAGACAAATTATTTGAGTCCTTTTTGATGTGATACAAAAGGATTTGACCAAGTGATAAATTTCCAAATGCACTAAAATAGACAGTTTTTAGACTTTTGTAGTAAGTTGATGTGATCCTTAACGATGGATTAATTCACTTGTAACTAGAAATAGACATCGATTGATTAATTTGCCTGCGTATACAAAAAGACAATTTACAGACATTTTTAATCCTTTTTAAAAGGATCTCATCAATTGATAAATTTTCATATGCTCACAAATAGACAATTTATTTGAGACCTCTTTAATTTGAGCCAAACGATCGACAGTTTCTAGTAATTTTTGATGTAATGCAAAAGGATTTCATCGATGGATTACTGGAAATAGACAATTTGTATAACAGTCCTTTCTGAAGTGATTAAAGGATCTCATTGATTGATTAATATGCCTACGTATACAAAGAGACAGTTTATAGACTTATCTTTGGATTACTTGCACTCATAAATAGACATTCTATAAACTTTGATAATCCTTTTTAAGTGAATCTCATCAATTGATGAATCAAAAGAATACATGAAAATAGACAATTTGTAGACTTTTTGTTGACATAACATAAAAGGATCTCAAATAGGTAGTTTGTAGACTTTTGTAGTAATTTTTGATGTAATACAAAAGGGTTTTGTCGATGGATTAATATACTTGTGACTAGAAATAGACAATTTTTATAACAGTCCTTATTGATTTGATTAAAGAATCTCATCGATTGACTAAAATGCCTACGTATACAACGAGACAGTTTATAGACTTATCTTTGGATTACTTTACTTGCACTCATAAATAGACAATCTATAAACTTTTATAATCCTTTTTAAGTGAATCTCATCAATCGATGAAACAAAAGGATGCACGAAAATAGACAATTTGTAGACTTTTGTAGTAAGTTTTGACAAGATATAAAAGAATCTCAAAGATGGATGAATGTGACTAGAAATAGAAATGTGATAATACAAAGAGTCAATTTATAGAATTTGAATCCTTTTTAAAGTGTATAACATCAATTGATGAATTTTTATATGCTCGCAAATAGAAAATATATTTGAGTCATTTTTGATGTGATACAAAATGATCTCTACATTCACAAATGCACGAAAATAGAATATTTGTTTAATTATTGATTTGATTAATTTGCCTGCGTATACAAAAAGTTAATTTATTGGATTTCTTTTTATTACTTTACTTTCGCCCAGCAATAGTCAATTTATAGACTTTTTGAATACTAATTTATATGATACGAAAGGATATCTTTGGATTATTTTACTTGCGACCACAAATAAACAATTTATAGTCATTTTGTTGTAATACCAAAGGATCTCATCTCTATAGTTATAACACACAAGGATTGATTGATTAAGTTAACTGTGCTTACAAATAGACAATTTACTGACATAAGACAAAAGGATCTAATCGATAGATTAATTTACCTGCCACGGCCATGCACCGCGTGCACTCTGTTTGCCGTTGATTATCCTTCCTAAGGATCCTGCCCGAGGCTGTCGCGATCTTCTCATACTGGTCCCACATTCTGAAACAGCAACATAAATGAAGTAGTTAACAATCTTTGTTATTTGATATAACGGTGACGCCTCTCCAATTAACATAGATGGCATTTGCAATCTTGGTTTTCTTGGATCGGCCAGAAGCGATTCGGCTGGACGGCAAATTGCACGTTCTCGGATAGAAATCCGAGCTCCGGCAAATTGGTTTGAATATTGAACAAAGTAGTGAAAAGGCCCCTCGAACGAATGGGAGTCATAATTAAAAGCAGGATATATTAAATTTCTCTGCTGTATTTCCATATCATTACTCTTCATTATTAATAATCTTAGCGAAAATAGAAACTGCGAGAACGCACTTGCTGCAAAATTGCTCCCGATAAATTAATCCACATCCTATGGAAACATGCTCATCTGCAATGTGCAAACAATCAATAAATAACACACAAATTTACTTCCAAATACAATAAATTCCCAATATTTTATTACTAATTATTATTTTCTTCTTAGACCAACAGGTACTTAACAAATTTTTATTTTAAATTTTATTAATAAAAAAATTATTGAAGTAAATATACAAAAAAACTATTTAAAAGTTAAGCAACACACATTTTCGGATGGGCTGGACATCATTTATTTTGTGACAAAATCTGTAAAAATTCTCCAATAAAATAACAAAAATTAATTACTGATTATTTACTATAATACATTTTATTTTTCTGCAATTAAATTTGATTTAATTTATTGATTAAGTGATATTTAAAAGATCAAATCTATACACCTTTTCTTCTAATTTTAATACATTTCTAATAATTCAATATTTATTAAGATTAAATACTTCATTATTAATTTTTAATAAAGAAAAAATATTTTTTTGTAACAAATATATTTAATGAAAAAAGTATTGTATAAAAAATGGAGTTGGCTGAAGATTTAATAAAAAAAATAGAAAACGTAATTTGTGTTCACTTTCGAATGAATTATTGTCTTTAACCCACATACAAACAAAGAGGAAACAATGTAAAATTAAGCTCAGGAAATGTTGTTAGGTATTATGTGAACTCGAAAGTATTCCAAATAAAATAAACTGTTTTTGTTTAAAGTGAATATGAACTTAATTTTGACGTAGATTTGTAAAATAAAATTATGTGGAATAATATAAAAAATATTTATTTCAATTAAATTAATGTAGTTGGTTAATGGTACATCATAAGGATTTCCAAATGCAGAAAAATATTAGACAGAAATAAATCTATTTGTTAGTTGAACATATTTTTTTTAATAACAAACATTAAGGAAATGCATCACAATAAGGAAGAATTTGCCAAGAAATGTAGTGAAAACAACAAAAACTAGATAATATTAAATCTACCAGTTAAACGAGTTTGTAATTTGAACGTATACATATATTATTTTTAATAAAAACAACTTTAAGGAAGTTTATTAAAGTGTTGATGCAATTGATAATAATTTGCCAAAAAAGTAGTAAAGAAAAACATACAAAATTAAGTAATTTCTTTAATCGTCTAGTATAAATGCAATAAATAACAATTTGGCAAAAAAGAGCAGTAGAGAAACAAAAACTACAAGTTAAACGAGTCTGTAAGTTGAAAATACAATTTTTCAAATAAAAAACAAACTTCAAGAAGTTTATAGACACTTGATCAAAAGAACTTAACAAAGTTTCTTGGTATTAAATGGTACACAATTAAGAAAGATTTCCAAATAGAAATTGAAATAGCAGAGAACAAAACTAAAACTACACAAAAAATCGAACAAACCAATATCTTTAGGAACTAATTAGCATTATTATTATTACATGACTAAGTGAAATTACCGTCCTGTACTTTCCAATAATTGTTAATTTACTAAACACAGATTCTAATATTCTATATATTAATATTACATTTATTTCCTTTAGGTATAATATGTAATATTTAAAATCTATAATTTACTCAAAATTAATTGATTTTTTGAATCAAATAAATTAATAATTAAGATTTTTTTTCTTATGGTTTCCAATTTTATTGTCTATATGTTATAAGTCATTTTTCTGTTAAATTTTTCATTATTTTTGTGTTTGGTAGTAAAAGTCCAAAGATTCCAAGAAATAATAAATTCAAATATGATTATTTTGTTTCTTAGTATTGACATTGATTTATTATAAATTTAGTGCATATTTTCTTCATAAATTAATGAATTTATGTCTTGTACCATTAAATTAATTAAAATTATATATTTTTTCAACTAAGTTTATTTTATTCAGTATAATAAATCTTTATAAATTGAACTCTAAAAAATAACATTTTTTCTTAATGAATTAATCTTTCGATTTTAAATTGCTGCTTTCAGATTATTTCAAAAGAAATAAAAAGCTATTTTTTTTGTTTAATTATAATATAATTATAATGTTATTCAACACTAAAAGTAAATAATATGTACAAATATCATAAACATGTAAATAATAAAAGATGATCTGATCTATATTAATGTTTATATTTATTATTGCCTCTCAGTTAATTATTCTCATTAAAACAATTCGCTTGTTTTTCGATCTTCAGAATGATTTATTAACTTCAGAAAAGGTGTTTACTATGTAATAAATCTCATTAATTGGCAAAAACATAATAATATATATTGCACAAGGTTCATATTTTTTTAATGAAATAATTAAGGTTTTTTTTTATAAATAAATATAAATAAATGTTCTGTTACGTATGATTGTTACGTTTGATTAAGGACAAGAAAATGAATAGTCTATTTGCAAAACTACATTGGAAAACGTGTTTACTTTCAAACAGAATGCCATTATAAAAATGTTTCTAAAAACAACAATATTTTCATGCTCCAGAAATTTTGTATGCACATTTTCTTTCTATATATTTTGCTTTTTTTCATAATCAATAATAATATAAAATATATACAACAATATCTTCGGCATCGATCAATCCGGATTAATTACAGTCTGATTTGATCATTTTTTATACATATATTATTTTAACAGAAATTAGATTACTTATATAAAATTAAAGATATTTTAGTGTAAAACAACTAAAAATATGCAATATTCTGTAATTATTTTTTTGTATACCTATTACACCTATATTATACATATTATTTTGTATACCTATTACCTCGTTTCTTGAACGCCTCGGTTTCGAACAAATAAACATTTGAATAAGCATATACGCTACGGATTATGAAATTTTGCATTCATTCTATATCTGTTTTCGAATAATTCGGTTTTCGAACAGCCTGTAGGAACAAATTATATTCGAATAGAGAACTTCAAACAGCAGTTTAAATACTTAAAGTTATATATAAATTACGAAATTTAAACAACTTTTGGTACAGATATTCTATTATAAAGAACCTAAAAAGTCCAGTATTATGTAGTTAATAATTAAATGACAACTTTTGATAGTTTGAATAATTTATTGAGCCCCTCGGTTCCCGAACAAATAATGTTTCGCATTATGAAATTTTACATTAATTCTTATATTGACAATTATTTCAGTTTTCTAATAGCCTTTAAGAATGAACTATATTTGAAAGTTGTAGTTTAAATGTAATGAATACTTAAACTAATATATAAATTACGAAATGTGTGCATCTTTTGGGAAATATATTCTATTATAAAATAACCTTAAAAGTCCAATATTATGTACATAATAAATAAAATATATTGTTTCTTGAGCCCCTCGGTTCCCGAACAAATAACGTTTTGAATAAGCATCTAGGTTTTGCATTATGAAATTTTGCATTAATTCTTATAGTTCAGTTTTCGAACAGCCTTTAGAAACGAATTATATTCGAAAAGTGAGCTTCACATTGCAGTTTAAATGTAATGAATACTTATATAAAACAAGTAACAATGTAACTTTTGAAAAAATCTAAAAAAAAATATGTTAAATAAATTACGTGAATGACATCATTCTTATTGTATTGTTCGAAGAAGGCAATAAACTTCAAAATATTAAAGCCGACTTCATTGAATCAAGAATATGAACCTTGAACTCTCGTAATTTTTTGTTGATACAACAAACTAGAATTCATATTTTTTGTATAATTCATAAAATATATTTTCTGAGTAATCTAAGATATAAACAAATTGATATAACCAGGACATTTAGTCATACCAACTTTACAATAATACACGAAGCTTACTGGATTGAATGGAGATGTAATTATAATTATATGATAATAATATAATTAATAAATATAACTATTTTCTTTTTTGTTAACTTTTTTACATAATAAACCACAATCTTCTAAAATAAAGCAAAACTTCGCATACCTCGGGCTAAGACAAGACTTTAAAACCACATGAAAATGAACAGTGTACAAAAAAATATTTTGTGTACTATTTTTTTACAATTTATTTTTATTTTTCTCAATTTAAATTTAGTTTGTTTTGAAATTTTCATAGCCTACTGTAGAAAATCGGAACTGATCGCACTCGCACTATTCGAGCAATACCTCGATCTGTTTGTAACCGGAATAATCGAGGACTTTAAAACTTCATACAAATAAAAAGCACAAAAAGAGTCAATCTGTATAGAAAAAAAAGTTGTTTTGTTGTATAAAAAATAATTTTGTGTACTATTTTTTTTTTTTGAAAATATATAGAGCTTAATTAAAATTTAGTTTGTTTTGAAATTTTCATAGCCTACTATGGTGATTCCACATTATACGATGTATTTCTGTACAGATTTATTATAATAGGATAAAATTCAAATTGTACGTTTGTTAACTATATTTGGTTTTATTTCTAATAACTGTGGAAATCTCGTGTAACTAGTACAAGTACAAGTTCAAGTTCAAACCGCAAATATATCTAATTAAAAGAAACACATCTGACGTCAGGCAATAATCTACTAACACCTAATATTTAGCACAGCTCAAGGATAAATTTTAATCTTCAAAAACAAACGTGTTTTACTAACTATTTTCCCTAAATAATACATTTAAAAAATGTCATTAAAAGATGCTTTTTGGGAAATCACCTACGCTAACCTTATAGATGATTTATATTAAGGTTACTATTGGAATATTTACAAAGTTCGGTATATTTTTAATTTGTATTTTTAAAACTTGTCTTTCCAAATTGGAATCGGATATCGGTCAATGTAATGGCTGTTATTGATGCTTTATTGCCAGAATTGTTGCACGCACGAGAATAAATCATAAATGGAATTTTATACCTGCAAAGTGAGGACCGTTCATGAACGTGTGTGACCTTAAAAAGAGTGTATATTATTTATATAAACATTTGGTTACTTTCATTTTCAATTTGTTTTTTTTCTGCAGTTTCTTTTTAAGTAATATAAATAACTTCTTATTTATTTAAATTTCTCTGAAGATTAACATGTTGTGATTTATGATATATTTTATGAAAGAAAAAACTACTAGAGAAATTTAGTTTTCTGGTTAATAATATGTTAAAAATTCATTTAATCAATTATTTAATCAAATTTTATGGATAAGTTAATTAAAATTTACTGTTCTTATTATTTTATATTAAAATTCAAGTAGATAAATCAATATTCAGAAAGAGGGAAAATTATTTATGTAATCAAATAACACGCTAATTGAGTTACACGGAGACTCGAATAACACGGTAAATAGTATCGAAAATTTTCGTATAATACGTTTCTTTAATGTATATTTTTCACAATTTTTAATAGCATTACTTTCCACTGTTAAGGAAAATCTTTAACAGTTCAGCACATCTTTTCAAATAAAACTCTCCAACACAAAGAATGAATGCGGGGGTATCGAATAACACGGTTTTCTCTAAGATGGGACCAATGAACCGTGTTATTCAAAGGTTAAACTGAAATGTAACAACAAAGGTTAGTTTTTCATGAAATCGGGTTATTCTAGTGGGGTATAAACTTAAAAATAATGTAATTTAACAAAAATAGCAAAAAAACAACAACTCAAAATTAAATTAGAAAAAAAACTGAAAAAGTTTATGAAAAAAAAATCAAAATTCAATGCAAATTTTTATTATTAAAATTTGAATTTAGCAATGTTAATTAAATTAGTTGTACTCATATAGTCTTGTTTCAAACAGTCTGAAATCACAACATAAAAATTAATTCTAAGAAAATAGTACACAAAACTATGATATTATATACAAATCAAAATACTCGATTAGTGCGGTTTCAAACAGTCCGGGATATTGGTCAAACTGATTACCAGCACTATGCGAAATATTGAATTATATTCTTTTCTTGCAGTGAAACATATTAGAATTGGGTTCATTTATTAATTAAAAATGAATTTACTGAATAATAATTTATTGAATAATATAAAAAAATAATCCATATTTTTTGTTGGAAAATTTCTATTGAGTTATTTTTCTTTCATTGTTAATATGTAATTACTTATTACCAGATTGTAAATAAAAATAATATATAAAAAAAGTACATAAAAAACTAAAAATTGTAAATTTTACTGTTTTTATGTTTTATAATACTAACATAAAATAACATCGACGTTTTGTAACGGAAAAGTGAAATTAATGGTTGGAATTTGTATTTTTGTTATGTTATTTTGCAATTAAACGCTTTCATTTCTGACAGCGAATAATGAAGAAAACGTAGGAATTAATCCGCTAATTGAGACGTGAGTTTCTTTAAATATATATCGTAGAATGAAGAAAAGTTATTTTTGCATCGAACCGTCTATTTAATACAATTCTCGCTTTTATATTCAAATGTATTCAATAGATATATTTTTAATTATCCCGATGTAAATGTCAGGCTTTCTTTTCATAAAAGTTTAAGATTAATAAAAATCAATTCATCAATTCAAACATTTTTACATAGAATTCACATTTATATTACGAGATTTTTTTACAACTTTTATTTTATATTAACAATCTCCACATTCCAGCAATAAGGAAATACGTTTAAAATATATATTACTTTTTAATTAAACAATTCGTATTAATTTACAATGATTTTATTTATAGTTTATAAATTATATTTTTAAGGTAATTTCTTATCGAATTATGATTTAAAAAAAATTAACTCGTGTTAATTCAAGTTTATTTAAATTGAATATTTATAATTATTCTCTTCATTAGCAAAAAACTATGAGTTTTTTCACAAAAAAATCTTGTGAATTTACCAAATCGTGTCTATCTAAGTTTTTATTCTTTTTTTTTGTTCGCTTAATGACATATGTACATTTTTGTTTTGGCAAAATGAGCGATAAGTTCTCATGTACGCCACCACATAACAACAATTCTCCCTCTGTATCGTTTCTCATAAATAAAGTTATATTAATTTCGAATAAAAAAATCTAAAATAATTTTATTTATATTTAACATCTCTTAACTTACGTAAAAATTATGCGTTTCTTTAACATTATTAGTTTTGTTATATTAAAAAATCGTAGTAAATTATAACACTTACCTTAATGTTTTTTAAGCTTCTAAACATAAAATACCCATTTGATCTAAGATTTTTTTAATTTATTACAACCTTTAATCAATTGTGAAACTAACGTTTGGTAAATGCAGACAATTATTTTTATTGGCCTGAGCATTAAAATGTGAGCTCCTAATTATACAAGAAATCGGTTATAACACTTTCATTTTATAATTGTGGATGACTTAAGCTGGTAATTGCTTTGAAAAGAGATTGCTATACACTGGATTCAATAAAATCGAATCAGGATTCAGACATGAAAGTAAATCTAGGCTTTTCAACTAATCAATAAACATACTAAAATAAAATTCACTCTAGTTTCGAAATATTTATAATTATTATATTTTTTATTATACTTATTTAATAATAATCAATCAAGAATAATAATAAAATAAATATATTTCTTTATTATTATTCTTTTGCCTATTTCAAATTACTAAACCAAATGCATTTTTATTTTACTAAAAAATAATGTTTAAAATTATTGTAAAACATCAATAATTATTTATTAACTAAAGTTATATTTTATATATTTTTTTTTAATATGAAGAATATTATGACCTTTGTACATATAACATTAATATATCATCGTTGATAATATATTTCCAAATTCAAAAAAAATTAATACAAATAATTTATGAATATAAGTTAATTATTAAAAAATACGCAGAAAATATATTTTCCCTCGTTTAATATTCAATATATTTTCATCATATTAATATAATTACAACAATACTTCATATTAGTCCGAATTCACTATAGTCCAGTTTGAAAATTTTATAGTAAACTAAATTTGAATTCAGAGAAATAAAAAAAAATGTACACAAAATTATTTTTTATACATAAATGATCTTTTGTTTCCTTTAATATAATCAATTCTGTTTATTTCTCTCGATTAATTCAGTTTAATGTGTATTAATATTGACAACAAATTAAATGAAGAAACGATATTATGAATGCTTTATAAGTAGAAGTTTACAAATTAAATTATTGTTATAATTTATAATGAAATAAAAAAAAAACATTGTATTTTTATTCTTTAATTTATAATTATTTTGTTAGTGATATATGTACATTGAATCGTTTTCGAGTAAATCAATTAAATTTAAACCCAACAACAACATTAAAATCGTGTACAGTAATGATACGTTTGTCTCGGTTTAAGTAGAAACATGAGTTAAGTGAACAGAAGTAATCAATTAAGTGCATAAACAACGTTTCGTATTCGATAAAAAGTTAGTATACACTAGGATTTAAAAAAAAAAACAATCGAAAAACAAACACGCACGAGGATGTTTCTACGTAAAAAATATAAATAAACTAAAAGAAGAAGCAAAAAGCTAATTTATTTGACATTTGATGCATTATTCGGAACGTAATTAGAAAATTAAACAAAACACGTTTTTTAATGTATTTAGAAAAAAAGAAGCTATTAGCGAAGTTGAAGGTTTTCTGCAAATGAATAATTAAATGAATTTATTTATGCTTAACAAAGTAATTTGGTTTTTCGATTAGTAATATTTTAACGGATGCAACAGTGAGTATGGTTGTGGTATGTTACCTTGAGTAGTTGACATTGACCCAGAGAAGGCGCCGAAGAGGACGAGGAGCAGCGGGAGCGCGTGGTGCTGGACGCCCATAGCACTGACATGACCAGCAACTCTCTTGGGAACTGCTAGAAGAGTAAACCCCAGTAGACCAAAAGCGCGCCGAGAGAGAGTGATAGTGGTGACTATATATATATGAAACAATGAAAGTGCTCTCTTCTATTTCTATGGTACGATTGTAAACACTAAACTGGACTGGATGCCATGCTTTTCCTCCGTTGGGGACTACCAACACTCTTTCTTTCCCATCATCACCCACCGCCAACAACCGGATGCAAGTCGCTTGCTTCACCCGCTCTTGTCACACACAGAAGATATGATAATCCCAACTGCATTTCGTATGCGTAATCCCGCATTCCATTCCATTTACCTTTGCTCACTCTGAACCATTTTCAAATAAAACTTTCCACTTTAAGTAATTTAATACCTTTCGATGACACAGTTTTATTTCTAATTTTTCATACTCGATTATTACAAAATGTATCAATAATTTTAGTTAATTCTAAAGCAATTTCACTACTATAATTATATTCTTTGATACTAGTTTTTAAAATTAATTAATAATCTTACCTAATTTAAAAGTAATATAATAATTATGAAGCCACGTTTCTACATATATTTTTAATACTCTATTATGTAAATATATTCATAAACCTAATTACTTATATTTATTTTAGTTTAATAGTTTCATTATAACAATTTTTTCATATATATATTAACAATCAACATTAGTTATGGTTAGATAAAAAATAATTAATTTATTTAGTTATACTTTATTTAATTATTTATATTTCTTTTTTTCACATTAATTATGTGACTTTTTTTTAATATTATTTTATATATACTTGTAATTATGTACTTAAAAATTCATTCACTTAAAAATAAAGAACAATAATTGTAAGGATATTTGGATTTAGGGGACATAATTTGCAGAGAAGAAATATATGCGTCTTTGAAAATACATTTAAGAGAAAACGAGAGGTATCTGTCGAGGAGAGGAACAATTTTGCTTTTAGAATATACGAAATAATTGTGAGGGTTATTTGGATGTCGAATTTTGGTGAGCATGTGAAGAACAGAAGGATACGGAGAATTAATATTATTACAAAAAAAAGCAATTTATGTTATCAATGTTTCTAAATTTAGTGTTAAAGAATTTAGTTCAAAAATCAACAGTTGATGACCAAACTTCGCATAAATTTATTTAATTGAACTCAATTATTAAAATCAACAAACTCTTCCAGTAGGTGACGGTAATTTTTGCTGGCTTTGCTTCAGATTTTCATTTATTTTGGTCTGAAGTCGATCTCTTTCTTCATAGACCAGACATACATCGTTGGCGTATATTACCTTCTATTTTAATTGCATACACATTATAGAATGTTGGTAGTAAACATCTAGAAGTGATTCCAATATTTCATATTTTACATAACATATATCATAAAAATATATCATATGAGAAATATAGAGGAGTAATTCTCTAATTATTTTTATTTTCGTTTAGGATACAATTAACTGAATTTATTAACATTTACAAATAACTCAAAAAAATTGTGGTCATTTGTCAAATCTATTAATAATTGCACTAACTTAATTGCAATAATATAAAATAATATACAGATATCTCCCGACTTACGAATTCTCGGACTTATAAATAAAATTCTAAAAGCTCTAACTTGTTACAAGGAGATATATAAATTAACCGTCCAAACAAAAATTGATCATTTCTTTAATAAAATATAATATTTTTGGAAGATGTACTATCTGTTTTGTTGCATTTGTTTCTTTTGTAGTTTTTTTTTATTAAAATAATTATGATGTCTACATTGAAAAGTAGTCAGTGAATATTTTGTTTATTTTAATCTATTTTTTCAGTAATACGGAATTTGATATATATAACAGTAAAAACAATAATAAAATGTGTTGTTCCCTTTGGAAAGGAACTAGTTCGTAAGTCGGATACCTGTACATACAATTTATTTCATTATTTAAAACACAAATTATATTTATTCATATAGAATTTAAAGTAATTTAAAAAGACTACAACAGTAATTTTGTGTTCACTTGTAATTTATTACAATTTTAAAATTACTGTTTAATATATACATATTAAGATGTCTCGCCGCTTTTACTTTTAATGTAATTAAAACATGGAAGCTTTGAATGAAACGAAAAAAGTATCAATAAAATAAAATATTTGTAATTGAAAAATAAGTGTGAACAACAATAACTCGTATAATGCGGCTTTCATCGGTGCGGATTCTTTATACTCCGGTTTGAAAATTTGAAAACTAAATTTTAATTGAATGAAATAAAAATAAAATATTTTTGACCAATAAAAATTTAATTTTATTAATTTAGTCTCTGATTAGTCTGGGTTTAAATCATTCAGAATACTGGTAGAACAGATTAAATTTAATTGACATTTCTTTTTTGGTAAACTTTTCATTGGAAGTTTTACCATTATTTTCTTCTTTTAATTTGTTGGTCGGCGATTCCACTTTTCCCTTTTTCTGTCTATCTGCTGCTATTCTTAACACTGTCATTATCCATCGACTTGGCTGAAGGTCCATATGCTGAACCTCATTCATTTGACTGTCCGTCTGTGATGAACGATGGCCCTATTGCTGCAAGCACCGAGAGGGTTCACGAAGGGCCTGGCTTGACCAGGATTCGAACCTGGGCTCACTAGCTCGTGGGTAGGGCGACTTAACCATTTCACTATTAGTTTTTTAATTATAAATTAATTAATTTTCAATTATTATTCGTTATGTAAAGTGTAGATAACATTTTTAATAATAATTCTATAATAAATAAAATTAAACAAATTTAAATATTCTTTGTTTTATAATATTTATTATTTTGTACACATATAAAATACAACAATTGGAATTTATAATATTAAACATATTTTGAAAATGATGTTTAAGAAAGTATTTATAGAAAATTTATTTGTTTAAATTTTTTTATTATTGAAGTCATCATAAAACATTAAAAGATAATCTACTTTTAATTCCATTGAATTTTAATCAACTTTTCTCTAAAAACCATAAAACTGTTACGGATTTATACAAAATTTTATATTCTGTAATATTGACAGTAAAAACTATAATAATTTTTAAGTATTACATAAGTATTGCATTACGGTACTTTTTCACTAAAACACATTAAATTTAAATATTTCCGAGAGATCCTTAAAATGATTTAAAAAATTAAATTTTTAAACAGTAAACAGTTAAATTTTTTCAACAGTAAATGAAAAAAGAAACATAAAAATTCTACAATAACATTTTTTAAATAATTATTCCCATCCTACCCACGATTCCGTGGGCGCAGGTTCGGATTCTGGTCAAGCCTGGCTCTTTGTGAGCACTGTCGGTGCTTACAGCAATCGTTCATCATGAATGGTAAAATGAATGAGGTTTAGCATATGGACTTAAAACCAAGTCGTTGGACAATGACAGTGTTAAGGATAGCAGCAGATACACAGTCAAAAAGAATAGTAGAATCACAGAGCATCAATATACTGAAGCTAGAAGACGGCAGCCAACCTATAAATTACAGAAGAATATAATGGTAAAAACGTCCAATGGAAAGTTTACCAAAAAGCAAAAATGATTTAATTGATTTTCGCAAGAATAAGATTGTAAATAAAATATACTATGACATAATAAAAAAATATTATTTTGGAGCGTAGTCATTATCAACTTCAATAACTGCTTCCCATTTGCAAATAGTAATTTGATTAAAAAAGTAAACAAAACAGCAATTTTTATTAACAAAAACCGTATACAAAACGCCTAATAATTATGCACCAACCCAATAGAAAAACAAGAAAATTTATTAATTTGAAACAACATGTAAATTGTAGACTATTGTTATATTTTACAAATAATCTTTATATTTTCATAGCAAATCATTAGACTTCTATTATTTATTCAGTTAACAAAAGCACAGTTCATCCCATTCAAGTAATAACACAGACACATATTGTTTAACTTCCTTAAGGTGTCAAATGTGATGTAACAACACAGTTTAAATATTGATTTACAATTTCATTATGTATTTAAGTCAGTAAGAAAAACATTACAATTACTTTCTATATTTGTTGAAATAAAGTATGTACTTTCTTAATTGAAAGTCACGTATTTCTCATTACAATCATTCATTTGAAAGCATATTTAAATAAAATAAGATAAAAATAATGTAGTTATAATAAGATATACTAAAAAGAGACAATCAGCGCACAGAAATATAAGTATTATTTGTAAAATTTGATGCATTATGATCATTAAAAAAATATAATAAATATCGTTATGTAATATCAAGGATACTTGGTAATATCTTAATAATTAGTACAAAAACACTCATTATAATGCATGTGATAATGCATAAAGAGAAATTGTTTTATTAATGAAAATTTTATATTTGTATGTTCATACTAGAAACTATAATAAGAAAAAAATATATATATGAGAAGCCCTGCAAAATATGACATAAATAATATTGATGTTGTGAGTCGTATAAGTTGGAAGGTTTCATTTGTAACAGGATGACGATTGAACATTGCATTTTGGTCTGTGTTATTTATTCCGGGATGTGAAGCCAAGATATGAAGATGCGAACCTCTAGGCCTACAAACAGTAAATCATGCTGCAAATGTGCGAAACCGAAGTTCATAAAATATATGAAATATTTTTTGAATAAGCTGAAATAATTTAAGTGTATTGTAGATTGATTGAATATCGATATTTGAAAGTATTAATAAAACAAAATATTAGTAAATTGTTCATAAATGATCTTTTTTTGTATGTATATAGTTCCTCGATTAGTGCGGTTTCTGTTTGGGATATTGGCGGAACCGACCGCACTATGCAAGGAATTTCAGTATTTAGTTCCTCGATTAGTTGAGTTTTAATCAATCCAAGATATTTATGGAACCGTTTACCCGCACTATGCGAGGTACTTCTGTATTTAGTTTATCGATTAGTTTGGAATAAAACAGTTCAGGATATTGACAGAACCGATTAACC